ACTACTGCTACTACTGCTGCTGCTGCTGCTGCTGCTGCTCCTACTACTACTACTACTACTACTACTACTAACAACAACAACAACTACTACTACTACTACTACTACTACTACTAACTACTACTACTACTAACTACTACTACTACTACTACTACTACTACGACTACTGCTACGACTACTGCTATGACCACCACCACCACCACTACTACCACTACAGTCATTACGTACTAGGGCGACTGCGATTGCGACTACGACTACAACGAGTACGACTACGACCACGATCGCAACTAGGGACTACAACTACAACTACATCGGCATCCGCTTTGGTTGCACTTGCTAGTTTCTTTCATCATCGTGTCTACTATGACAACTTGATTATGACAACTGATCACCATCTTCATCATCAACATCGTTGTCATTACCATCATCTTCTTCAATGCGAGGAGCACGTATACTGCTAGCACTTCCAAGATACGGGAGGTGCTACTCTGCATGCTGAACGTTCGTGTTCTTGAACTGAAATCTGCAGCTCTAAATATCGTTGGATTGTTTCGACTGTTGATGCCATGATTGTTGATGCTTCTCGTCATTCTTTTCGGCATGCCCACTACTTTTCTTTTTGTTCGCCTTTCTCGTAATCGTACCAGCGATGGGAATCGCCGTTCGTAGTGTTGGCAAAGACAGCGCCAGAAAGTCATGATGGCAGCAGTTTGCTCTCATTGTTTGCTTTCCTGCTATTCATCCTTGGCAAATCTTGCTACTGCTACCTTTTAGCCCTCTCACTCCTGAATCAGTGTCAAACATCCATTACACATCATAAGCATCCTAAACTCAGTTCACAATGCTTAAGTCCCTTTCAAGGGTTTGGGAAATTCTTCAGGAAGTTTTCTCCCTCCTTTCTCCTGCCTGACAGGCTCTTCGAGAAAGTCTTTAAGCACTACACCAAGAAGCAGTGGGACCGACGTGCCCTGAACCGATTTTCCCAAAGCTGCATCATGCCTACATGCGTTCGAACTCGTAGCTATGTGCATGCATGTTCATGTGTAGAACGCCGGCATCTACATGCATGCCTGCCTGCCGGATTGTTTGGCCGCCTGCCTGCATTCCTGCATTCCTGCGTGTATGCATGCATGCATACATTCTACATATCGTACATCCATACATGCGATTAACACTGCTTCCAGAAGGCATCCTCACGAGTGACCCGGGTCTATATCTACAACCGGAGTTTGGAGTACATGTTAGTCTGGGTGCATAGACAACAGTTGCCGTAGCCATGTCATGTGTAGGTTTCGGTTTCTGTCTCTTCGTGTGTCTAATGCCTATAGTGTACACGTGTAGGCAAGCATGCATGCATGCATGCGCGTAGGTACTGCTCGGTGGGGTAGGTAGGAGAGTAGGAGAGTAGGAGAGTAGGTGGGCAGGCAGGCAGGTAGGTAAGTAGGTAGGTCCACGAGCAGGTGCAGCAGCAGCAGCAGCAACAGCAGCAGGAGGACAGGCAACAACAGCAATGGTAGAGGACGTCGTCGTAGCAGCAGTAGCAGCAGCGGCGGCAGCAGTGGTAGCAACAAATGGCGAGGACCAGAACTCGAAAGGCCACAAGAGTCGTACCGATACTCCACTCAAGCAACACTTATTCCAGCAAACGTTGACCTTGTTCATAACCACGAAAGCAGCATTGGCAGCCACAAAAAGCCCACTCCATTACCATCATGTCAGGAAGATCCAGTGCTCGCAGGACAAATACCCTGCTGAGCTGGACGCAAGCGTGCTGCTGCGACTGCCGTGCAGAACTTCCACCGACGATCGGTACTTCCCCGACCCATGGCAGGCCCGGTTTTTCCGAGGGCCCAACAGCTTTGAGCCCCGAGAGCTAGTCCATGGAACGAGTCCCTTTAGGAGATGTGGGTTTCGTCGGGTTTCGTTTTACATCACATCAGCAGTTTGCATGAGGTGGGTTGAGTAGGCCTTCCTGACAAGAACCAACGATGACCCCAAACTCTAAGCCATGTGGGTTTCTGGGCGACACAGAAGAAACAAGGCGTTGCCGCGGAGGGGCTACACCCGGATCTTTGAGAATATGTTGCAACTTTTCTGCATGTCGTGTTTGTGGCAGCTTTGAAGCAAGGCCCGTGCTTGCGAATGCGAAATCTCTTTGCACGGCTCTTGCGCCATCTAGTCGCGTTTCCCCAAAGCGCTGTGTTTGAGGCCCATGCCCCAAGCAAGGCGCCCACAAAGAGCTGAGGCTCAGGGATCCGAACATCAGCATCCGGCTGAACTGCGACTTCTTTCAGCTGAAGGCGGATGCTGTCTCACTGTGGGGCCTCTGTGCAAACTCTCAGAGCCCTCGAACTCGGCGAACCTTGGGCTCCACAATCAAAGCCGCAAAACCTCGGCCGCAGGCATTTGTCTCAATCGTTAGAAGTTAAAGCCAGAGCAGTTACAAGTAGAGCCTGTTTCAGGCAGCTCTGCTGGAAGGTCTTCTGCTCAAATCCTAGAGCTTGTCCGTTCGAAGCAGAATCCCTTTGGCCAAAGTTCACTCGGCAGGAGGCCGGCAGATTGCCGAAGCACAAGCTGCTCGTGTACACAGGCTGGTCTTTGCGAGGGCTTCCTTCCGTTTTGAGGATGTTAATGTGGGGTTTAGTGAAGTTTAGTGGTTATGGTAGGTGGTTTTCTTGAGAGCTTCAGGCCCAGAATCCACAGATGACGAGTCTGAGGGCAGTCTGTTCCTTCTGGATGTCAGGTCAGATTGATAGCAGCTTGGCAGCAATGCGAAACACTCCCAGCCCGCAGTTGTCCGGGAATGGAGATTTCCCATTCTGTCCACCTAGCTGCTAGGGGCTGTAAGCATCGCGTCCCGAAAGAAGACAGGAACGGACAAAATTCATGCACGCCTGCCAATGCACGTCAAAGCAAAGTCAAAGTCAGATTGTAAAGACGTAGAATGCACCAACACAGTTGCAACGAGGTTACTACGCAGCGCTGGGAATGCCAAAGCTGGAATATCGATCCCTGCGCTTCGAGGTGCGGAGAGGAACAGCATCCATGAACTGCTTGAAGTTCTCGGGACTGTAGTGATAGTACGTGGGTTTGGCTGAGTAAGGCGCAGCTAAAGCATTGCGTGCTTATGTCTTTACGTAGTCCTGTGCTGTGCCGTGGCCTGTGCCGTGGCAGATTGCATGTGATCTGTAGTACGCAGCTCCGTGACTTGGTCTCTCGCTGACGGCGTGGTCATACGAAGCTGCTGACTTAATTCCAGGAGGAGTTCGTCCCTGAGCCGGACGGTGGCTTTTTCCAAGAGGCCGTCGAATGCAGCTTGTGAGAGTCGCGTTGACATCAATGCCAAGTCTCTGATGACGGCAGTTCGATGCTTGTTCCCGATCCTGTTCCGATATGTCCCAAGCTCCTCGAGGGCGTAGGTTCCTAATGCATAGAATCAGAGGATGTGCTGTTCTGCAGGCAATGGTCGTCAACCACCCCTCGCCGGACGTGCCCTTCACACGAATTGTAGAGCATCTTGGCCTGCACCACGACAGGCCCTGAAATTATCGCTACATGCCCTAAATCCTGCAATCTAGCGCATACCTCTCTTTCATCGTGTTAGTCTTGAGAGAGGGAGAGAAGAAGTAACTCGAGACGGCAGACTGTATTGAGGTCTGGCGCAATGCCAGTATCCTATAGTCTGCGACAGCCCCAAGAGATGCTTACGAACTCTCCGTTCACAAGTGCGTCGATTTACGGAGCAACTGGCAGGCAAGATTGAATGAGAAGAATATCTTTGAGCAAACCGTTCGGAAAAGTCAGAATGTAGCGGTTTATTCCGGCTTGCAATTCAACAGTCATGAACCAACATGTCAAGAATCCAAATCCCCCAACCTCGACCCCGACACAGCTTTAAGAGGTGGACCCTTCAGCGGCTCTCGTTGCAGCAAGCTGTTCGGATCTTGTCCAGTCTCGTGAGCAAGGTACAAACACGTCCCGAACCAGCCGCAGGAGGTAAAAGACGGCAAGGTCAAAGGGACTCTCATCGCCGCAGCCTCGAATTTGTCCCGCTGTGCCCTTAGTACCCCATAACCAACCTTCAAAGTTCTTGGGTTGTTATCATTCAATAGTAATCTGGAAGCTTAACCTTTTATTTCACTGGCTTATTGGGGAAGTAATTGCCTCCGCGTGAGAGCATCTCGCATCTACTCGCTGTGAGGCCAGAGAATACTCCTCAGCAGAAGGGGAGCCGTACTACCCGGTGCCAAACCCTGCCAACAGGCTCCACGCCGATGTCTTTCGGGGCGGGATTGAAACATGTTCACCCAGAGTTAGAATCGCTGCTCATGTCACTGGACGGGAGCCGCAACTGTTGCTCACCTCGTCTGCTGCCAGGGCGCTCTATGAAAAATATGCAGACCTCGCGGCGCGCGAGGAGGCCAGAAGCAAATCGGGGCCGGGCTGAAAAGGCTCGCTTTCAAGCGGCCACTTGTGTGCGTTTGCAGATTCCCTTTCTTTGTGTGGACTAGCTGAGATGAGGTTGGGGGTCCAGTCCGAGAGCGCAGTTCGGGATGCGTTTCCCTGCTCCGCAAGGGGGTGGCATTTGTGGGACGGCTGGCGTCGTACAAGTACTTCAACATGGACCAGGCCTCTGCTGAGCTCCTACAGTGGGGTGTCATTGTGAGGGAGGAGCACTGCTTAAAGCTTAGTTAGAGGCTGCAGCTACAGGCCGTGGGTCATTGTGGCCTGCTCGGTCCAGTCCTGTCCGACCTTGAAAGGCCATTCTGAATGCGCTGGAAATGTTTGACAACCTCAAGGACGTCTTGCACGGAACACTGCGTTGTAATGGGCTCGGAGAAGGTGACCGTATCTACATACGCTCTCATGTGCCTGGAGACGGTTACGCTGCTAGGCCTTTTTTCCGAGCACGGAGTGGCCCAACAAGCCAAACTATTGAGCTGCCAGACGGCCGTTTAGCATTTCATGGCCGACAGGCAGTAGCGAAGTCAAAAGGAGAAAATTCCACAAGTTAAAGTATCCTCGGATGCGACGTTCTCAGGTGCAGGTCAAAGTACACATGAAGCAAAGTTATATTGAGTGTCATGTCATGTGACTGATACATTTAGCAAGATATGAACAACGAACATCGATGCAGATAGCACGAGATGAGGCTGATAAAACACGATGAGCTCTCGACCGCTATCACAGGAGACCGGCAAGTTGGAGCCCAAGCGGAAACCTGAAGATTTCGGTCCAGGTGACGGCCCGAAGTAGAGGCGCGGCTCTAAGACTGTGGGGCTTTCGAGGGGCTTTTCATGCATGTAATGAGTTCTCATCAATTTCGAGATCGTCTTCATCGTCGACTCGTTATCATAGCCATAGTTGAAATGATGCACACTATCTCGCTAATCACCATCAACATCCTCAACGCTTCGACATTTCGGCCTCGTTATTATCGAACAACTCATCCCTATCGTCGTCCAGGTCCTTCTCCGTCATCGTAGGCTTTGTCATCAGCATCGACAAGAGCATCATCACCATCACCACCATCATCACTACCATGGCAATCATCACTACCTTCACCATCATCACTACCATCACCACCATCGTCACCACCATCATCGCCATCATCATCATCATCGTCGCCGTCATCATCATCACCGTCATCATCATCATCATCACCATCATCATCATCATCATCTTCATCATCAGAAGCAGCAGCAACAACAGCAGCAGCAGCAGCAGTGGCAGCGGCAGCGTCCGCAGCTTCTGCTTCTTCACCAACATCGTCATCATGACCACTTGCGCCATCAGCATCGTCATCAGTCATCACCGTCATCCCACCATCGTCATCACCGCGTCTTCTCCTGGGCTCTGTTTCAACGTTCAATTTGACGGGCTCATGTTCGAGACCGATCAAGGGAGCTGCAAGCATCATGCGCAAACTCCAGCTCGGACCGGCCTTCCATTCCTACATGATACAGCGGAGGCCCTTGTGGTGGACACGTTTTCGAAGGTTTTTTTCCAAGAAGACGCGAGGATCAAGGTTGTCACCACGAACCAGAGAACCATTCTGTCAACCTGTAGACTTTCGAACACAAAGATCTTCCCGCCCGCAAACTGGTTTGCACATTCGGGGTCGTCACAACTTTTCCTGAAAACATCATCTCCCACCTCAGTTTGGCATCGCCATTGGCTTTATCGCCATCTTCTTGTTCTTCACCATGACGTGTCATTGGCAATTTTGTCTATTTGTGTGACCATCCTCATCATCAAACTCCTCATCACCACCACCAGCTGCACCGCTAGCCACTAACCCCACCACTAGCACCACCACGAGCACCCCCTCCACTCCAGCAGCAGCACCACCAGCAGCATAATTGGCACCGCCAGCGCCACCAACGCCTCCCCAACCAGCAACACGAGCATCAGCAAATGGAGTGCCCACAGCCACAAGATGCTGGTTGTTGTGTCTGTCGTCATAGAGGAGTCACCGGTACAAAGGGTGCAGTGTTTGGGAGCTGGGCATTTGGGTGATGAGATGCTTTTTGATGTTCAGTTTCATCGTGGAGTCGACTCTAATCTAAGGCGCTGGAGGCACGGAATCCTTCTTCTGGCCAGGTGTCGGAGCAGCTGCAAAGCAGCCACATGCCTGCTTCGGTCGAGAGGATCTGACCGCACACTTTCCGGGCGAACAAAAGGTTGGCCAGGAATTTGTTGGTTTGTGAGGGCAGGTGTGACCTCCATGTGATCTTCTCGGCTGAATTCAGTGCACACTGAATGCCGTGTGGAGCGAGCGAAAAGGGAGCAATGCATGGAATTTCGCGTGAGACATCTTTGGCCCTGGTACAGTACTTTCGCGGGATGTCGGAGACATCAGACTGAAGATGCAGGGTTCATTGCATTGACTTCCTGGGATCAAGACCCCTCCTGTTACAGTCTGCAGCAACACGGCAAGTGTCGGCGATGGCTCCCCTTCCAGCGGTGCAGCAGTCCCTTGAATGAGTCCAGGAACTTTGTTTACTGTGTATGCCAGCTGCTGAATCTAAAGCTCAGAGCACTAGCAACGCTGCAAGGAAGCATGTCCTGTCGAGGCGCTCTGACCAGCAAATCTCTGCGATCCCATCGATCTGCAAGCACACACGTAGTTTCGGCGAAGTTTCTTTGGGGGCTCCGGTGTGTGGCAGGTACTCTGCCTTCCTGGAGGAAGCAGACGCCGTTGCTGCTTCGCTGGAGGCCAATGTGGCCACCTTCTCCAACACTCTGCGGAATACCAGGCTCCTGCCAGGGCTGCTTTGAGATATTTGCCATGAGTCGAGCCGAGCTCAGACCCTTTTTGGGAGGTTCCGTGGAGCGGGGCCACTAAATGCCAGGACCACTGCTGCTTTTTTTTCGAACGACCACCACATGAACTGCTACTGCTACTGCTTTCCCGACTCCGAAAAGTGCTTGAACGACTCTCACCTTCCTGCTCCACCGCCATGTCCAGCATTGGCTTTTTTCTGTTGCTTGCTTCCTTATTGCTACTAGTATCAATCCAATGCCAATGGGAATCACACAGGTATCACCGAGCATACTTCGTAGGACCAGGTGCCATCGTGTGAGTCTCTTTGATTTTGGACCACAACACTCATACAATCCTAAAATCCCCAGAAGGAACCCCCAAACCTTTCGTACGCTCTTGCATGTTTCTGACCTCAAGGCGCCGGGCGCTGGCAGCTGCACGCGCCGAGTTCCATTCCTGCCTAGCGGACTGGTCGGCGCAGGTCCAGGCGCAGGCAGGGCGTGGTAAGCTTGAGGTGGCGTCTTTGTTGCAACGAGGGCTAAGTGCAGGGATCGAAATCATCGTCACCGCCACCAATGCCATCGTCATCTCGGAGTACTGAGCTGATAAGAACACAGATGGCGTCAGATACCCAGTGCCACCGCCTTCCAGGACGAAACCCCAACCGCTAAGCCAAGTGCCTGTCTGCACCAGCGTGACAACAGAGAGGGCTTTCTCATGCAAACAGGATGATTACGGCGAACACGCGAATGAATACCTCTGCCAACAGCAAGCCCTCTGCGGCGGGCAATACTGGTAGCGGTAGCAACGATCGGGCTGAGGCAGGATCCAGAGTTGTCATGAGTGTCATGAGGTTGCCCCTCGATGACACGAATGATCGAATGCCCGAGACAAATCTGACCGTCTGAAGCGCCTGGTAGTTGTATCTGAATTGGGGAATACGGAATACAGCAGCGGTGTCGGCGGCAGCGGCGGCGGCAGCAGCAACAGCAGCAGCTGCAGCCGCAGCACGGCAGCAGTGTAGGACGGGGGAAGGGAGAGGAGGAATTATGAAAAGCATTGAAAAACATGTAGAAAGAGAATTAGGACTACGAATGGGGTGTGAGCGATTGCAGGCCCTCCAACGCTCCAGTCTCGAGAGCGCCGCTGTGCAAGCACGGAAGGCTGCTGGAACCCGAGACGTTTAAAGCTTTCTTGGAGTGACGCGGGTTTTTGAAGCTCGGACAAAGCAGAAGTCGTGCTCAACTGATCCTGGCTCTGATCACAGTGCCACCTCCAGGTTCGCAGCTGTGAACGTCTCTGGTGCTTTGTCACCTGAACTTAACTACCTCGATTTCTGACGTGAGGTCTGGCATTGCTTCTGGCTCTTAGCAGCGAGATGCCAAAACGGAGAGCCTAAACCATAAACTCTTATCCCACATGACCTGAAATCTGAAACCTGAACTTCAAAGCCAACCAGAAGTCGCCGGAAGCGCTTCGGAGGCCAGCTTCCGTTGGGACCAGCGCTTCAACCCGCTCAGCGCCCTGAAGGGGGAAGCGCAGGAAGCGCATCCCAGCCCCAATCTGGCCAGATCACCCTTGTGTATGCAATTGTATGCCGACGCTTCGGCAGCTATGCATTTGGTTTTTCTGCAGAGAGTGCTCGGAACTGAGCCCTGGGCCTCGAAAGCGTCCCCTGAAGCTTCGCATTTGGAGCCCGGCGGGTGAAAGCCTCAGGAAGGACGCGGAGGAGCTGGTGAAGCAAAGCGGAATGCGGCTGGAGATCCGGCTCCAGGGGCTGCCGCTTGGCTTTGCGTCCTTCTGTCTTTGCTTGGGAGAACGCGACGACGGAGGGTACGTCAGCGGAAGCCTATCCTGGTTTTGGGGTTTTGGGGGGCAACAGGATCTGCCAGAAAATTGCTGGTGATCCGGCCGAGTTTTGCTTTCCAGGCATCCTTCAGACTTCAGAGATGCGTGTGTGCGTCCGAAACACCACAGGGAGAAAGAAGCCTTCAAGAGACTTGATTCGGGACTTAAAAGGCAGGTTATAATAAGTTAGAGTTGGGGGTTATAAATGTGGGCGTATGGTGCTTACAACCGTGCTTGAACGCCGACTTCCCAGAAGATGCAGATGTTCCGAGTGCCTGTGTCCTCCGGCACCTTGGGAGAGGCAGCGCGACCTCGCCGTCCTGAAGCAGAGCCTCGCTTCCCTGGATCTCCCGCCCATGTCGCCCGTCGAAGTTCATGTTGTACTTCGGGCCTCCAGAACGAAAGTAAGTGGTTTTGGGGGCCCATGAAATGGAGGAGGGCCAGAAGAAGCTACCTTCAACTTGACATTCTAAACGCCCCCAAGATTTTGGGAGTTTTTGGCTGCGTTGCGACTGCTCAAGGCTGATGCGGACGGGTGAGGCAGAACTGCTCAACGGAGAGGCGCCCGGGGCCAGTAACCTGGGGCTTAATGGCCTCACTTGCTGGATGATGTTGCCGCTGTCCTGTTTGATGGTATGCAGAGGATGATTCAAAGCAGAGTTCTTCCGCCACTGTAAGCTTTTTCGTGTGTGCAGACGGCTTCAGGAACTCGGCTTTGGGGCGGGTTTTGAGAGGGCGGGCTGAGATGTACAGCACTGGGGGCTGAAGCTGTACGTATTGGACGATGCACAGGTGCTTGGCACCGTGACGGCTGCCATTGGCCAGTGGTCGGGGTTCAGCTTCAATATCTCTGCCATAGTGGAGCGCAGATGCCAGGAGGACAGGACACACACACACACAGACAGTAACGCAGTCACGGAGTCACACCCTGCCAAGGCAAAATGTAGACTGAATACCCTCTTCGTTGAGCTGTTGCGAAGGAGTGCAGCTCCTTTGCCCAAGCCGGCCAGCTGCTGCAGCACCTTGCCTTCATCGGAGAGTCCGATACTTCAAAAAGAAATGCAGGCCCGGATGAGGCTTCCAGCTTCAGGGTTTCATGACAAATTGCATGTCGTGTTGATGCTTGTTTGGTATGGCTGCGCGCGGCTTCCTCTCTGATTTTAGAAGCGCCCAGACCGTGTTGTAGGTGGGTGGGACAGACGATGCTACCAATGCTCAGGCCATCTCATGCCAATGCCCCGGCAAGCCGTGGCAGTCGTTGGCAGTTTTCGTTATGCTAGACGTCACATAACGTGATTCATGTGACACTCACGCCAAGAGGTCAGCCGTCAGCAATGTAGGTACAATGTAGGTTGAAGCCTAAGTGCAAGCAGGAGCACGTCTGTTTAACAAGTTTTGTCTTTGTTACTTGTTGTAGAGTGTTCCATCCCTTCCAGCTCGTTGTTACTCCATGTACTGAGATGAGTCCCAATGTTTCTCATCATCTCTCATCATCGTGTTGATAGGGTTCCTTTGGTGTGTTATCTGAACTGTTACTTCTGTACTTGCATGTGTCTGGGGGGTTTGCATAGGTTCCCCCCAGCAGAGGCAGAGAGCGCAGCAGCTCGGCGCCGACGCGGTGGTGGGCGTTCGTTGGCTGCAGTGTGACTCCTTCCAGATCGAGAAGGACGGCTCGCCTGTCGCTCGCATCGACTCTTGATCATTAGAGCTTCGGTGCATGACCACTGCCAATATGGTTTTTGTGCTCATCAACACAACGTCTGTCTTGATCGCCCGTGTTCCGCACATCCACTCGCCATGTTTCATCGGCTGCGATGTCATGATGCTGGTTGTCGTCGGACCTGCAGGACCAGAGATAGTGAAACTAGATCACCTCTCTGTCGGACTGTCTGGGTTGCAAAGCTCTGATGAAATGCACTTGGCTCTTAAGAGTCTTTCGGAGCCGGAACACGTTTTGTTTGGTCAGGAGAAGAAGGAGAACGGGCCGACGACCTACCGTCGGGTTCAGCGGCACGCGACTCATGGCTTCTATTCAAGCATCCAGGGTCCAGGGTTTCGGGGTCTTTACGCTCAGTTGTTTCTCTTTGGAGGGTCCTTTTTTTGGGATCTGCAATGTACGGCCTCAGCCGCAGAAGGTTCACCCTGAATGGATCCCTAATTTTAACGCTACGCCGCCCGCCTCGGCTGCTGAGGGGCAGGGGGCACGGGAGACACGTCGG